ATATATATTAGTAGAGGTTTTCCGGCGCTCGCAACCGCATAAGGTCATATGAGCGCCAGAAGATTAGAGGTGTTACAGGATAGTAACAAACATAAAAAAGGAGGGGAGATAAGGACAATAGATGTTTGATAGAAAAGAAGAAGCAAACCACACCAGAGCACCCACCAACCACCCACGGAAACAGAGTGACGTCACAGCTCTCTCTTCATTGACTCACAGAAGTAGGGAACCCCTTTAACTTTTCTAAGTTCACAAGGCAAACAAACAAACAAACAAACAAACAAACAAAACAACCAAAAAAAACCTGTTTCATCTTACCTACGTCACGCATGCTTTACGATTGTTTACAAATATATTAGACTTCTTTTATCGATTTAAGGATCACCAAGTGATATTTAACGTGCACAGCTTCCGCACGTGACCTCCCAGGCATTTCCCCCGTATCGGAGAAGGCTATTTATAGATCTTACCTACCATAAGGCCAGGGGTGTGGCTGAAAGACAGCAGTAAGAAGGAGCAAAGGAGTAGCAGTAGAAAGGCTGTAGAAAGAGTCAGGAACCCAGCGGAGGAGGCAAAGGGGAGGGGTGGGGGTTGGAAGAAAGTGGCTACGAAAGCAGACGACAGAACAAAGTTTAAGAGCAGGATAGGAGGGTTAATGAGAGCAATAATTTTAGAGAAGAACGTTCTCCGTCGCTGTCAGGTTTCGAACCCTCGACCTATTGAATGAGAGGCGAACATCTTAACCTCTAGCCCACGAGAGCCCCAACACAAATACATAATAATACATAAATACATAAATACAACAATCCACAAACACATATTATTAACTGCTGGCCTTTTGCATCTTGACAGACAATCTTGTAGCAGCGTACAAGACACAGCTTCTCTGCCGGTGCGAGGGAGGTTTGGGGGGGGGGGGGGGGGGTTTGGGGGGGGGGGGGACGTGTATAGTGGAAGCAGATTGCCTGGGAGATCACCAGAAAATCAAGGGTGTGTCTGAAAGACAGGAGTAAGAAGGAGCCAAAGTAGCCGTAGAAAGGCTGCAGAAAGAGTCAAAAGCCCAGAGGAGGAGGCAAACGGGGTGAGAGGGTAGGGGCAGAAAGTCGAGACCAAAGCAGACGACAGAACATTGCTTGAGAGCAGGAAAGAAGGTGAAATGAGACAATTTTAGAACAGAAAATTTTTCGGTCGCTACTCGGATTCGAACGGGGGACCTTTGGATGAGAGGCAAACACCTTAACCTCTAGGCCACGAGAGCCCCCATATATACATATAACACACAAACACACACACACACACACACACACACACACACA